AACTGTATTTCAAATTCTGACTTAGTTGGCTCCATACCATACATCTTTTTATCCATTTTAAATCTTTCAAGTAACTGTAAATGGGATAACCACTGGCAACTGTATCCTTCTGCTATTAGTTGTTCCCTTGATTTGATTTTAAATTCCCCTTGATAGTTTTCCAATAAGTCCTCGTACATCAACCATTTGTCTTTATCTGTCATTTCTCTTCTATAATATGCTTCTATAATGAGCTGAGAACCATAAACGTGTTTTGGATTTATATCTATTCCATATTCTCAATATGGCAAATCTAATAAAATTATTTTTAAAGTCTACATTAATTTTAACTTTATCATATCATAAATAAATATCCATGCCACCCAAATCTCAAGTCATGACCTTCTAACTGTAAAAGTCTCTGCTTTCTCAGCAACACCCACTCTTTCATCCAGACCAAACAACAAGCAGCAAAATAGAATTTCAAATCTGGTAGACCCAACCCGCCACTTTCCTTTGCATCTTGTAACACTTTATACTTAATTTGTGGGGGGGTTCCCTTGACATATAAATTTGTCATTGTTTAAATGGTGCATCGGTTGTCAAAACAGGTATTGTCTGAAACAAAAACATTATACTTGGCAAAGCATTCATTTTTACCACAGAAATTCTCCTCAACAGTGACAGTTTTAATTTCTCCCATCTTAACATATCCTTAATTTCAGTCCATGTCTTAACATAATTATTTTGAAATAACATACAATTCATATCTGTCATAGTAATACCCAAGTATTTACTTTTTTTCTCAATCCTAAAGCCAGTTTTCTCCATCAGTTCTATTTGATCTTCTAATTTCATATTTTTTGTTAACATCTTTGTCTTCTACAATACCCAAGTATTTACTTTTTTTCTCAATATACCCAAGTATTTACTTTTTTTCTCAATCCTAAAGCCAGTTTTCTCCATCAGTTCTATTTGATCTTCTAATTTCATATTTTTTGTTAACATCTTTGTCTTCTACATGCTAATATATCAAAATCCTTCTATTTAATTAATTAATTCATTAATTTGTTTAATTACCATCCAAGATCAAGTCACAGACTTTAAAAAATATAGCACAGCATTAATACATGCATAAGTAACAGTATATACATACAGTATATAAAAGGAAAAAACAGTATAAAGTTAAGAATTCATTGAAGGCACCAATCAGTTTCAATAAGCTAAGGCTATAATTAAAAATTTTGTTACAGTACTGCCTTTGAAACACCTGAGTATTGATTGTTTAGTAAAAATACCTCAATCTCCTCATTAGTTGCTCCTCTATGTCTGAATGTCTGGATAAAAATATATATATATATTTATCTGGATGGACTTTCTGGCCCTTGTGATAACGGCGGAGATAAAAGTTGGCAGAGGACTCTACTAGGTGAATCTACTGGAAATGGGCCTTACAACCTTTTTCTGATGTACTTCAGGGTTCTAAATCTTCCTTCTGGTCAATAATGGCAAACTGAAGTCACTGGGTGGTCAAATTACACCACTAGATTAATTCTAAACAGAGGAAAAGACCCAATTCCATCTCAGTACACTCTAGGATTCCAAAACCGCTTCCTATTGGTCCACACAAGAAAGGTAGATTAATAGAGGAATGTACATTTGCCTTTTCCTATGACCCATCCTTGAGGTAGGACTTCTGACCCTTCTACCTCCCCACAAACTAGGCTTCTCCTCACTAAGAAACATCTCAAAGTGGATTTTCCCTAGAAGATCCATCATTTAGTATCTATCATCAGGAAAAAGATGGGGCAGGGGAAGCTAGTATTAAACCATAACACCTATTCTGCTGTAAGACACAGCTTTGTAGAACAACAGTAACAGCAACAAAATGATTCTTTTTCAAACGTTCCTGAGAAACATCTATCTGTGACTTTGGCCTTTGGCTACAGTGGAGTTCTGCTTGAGACTTTGGTAATATGTGTGAGTTAATTCAAATATTCACACACACACACACACACACACCACCACCATAAATATAATTGTTTATATTCAAAATTACCAAACTGGAAATCTTTTCAGTAACTGGGGATGGGACAGAATGTTACTTAATAATAGGATTCACCTTTTTAAGGGAGAAAATTCTGAACTTCTTTTTAATCCACTTTAGGTACAATTCCCAGTATATAATTCCCAGCACAAACCTTGAGATGGGCTGGTCCATGATAGCTTCTAAAGTTAAGATCCCTTTTAACTCATACTGAAATGCCCTTGGGAGGAGGAAACTATAATGAGGTGGATGATCTTACACTGTTGTGGCATAATTCATAAAGATATATTATTCACCAAGAAATAGTTCCTAGCAACAGCCAATGTAGTTTTCTTCATTATCTTCACCTGATTCATTTTGCATTGTCTTCTTCATTCTTTGAATATTTCTACCTGGACAGCCACTATAATTCAGGGATGATGAGGGAGAAAGGAAGTCTCTCATATCCTGAAATACTACCTTTGCCTGCCTGCATCACATATAAATGCCCAGCTCAGGAAGTGACAATGGGTGGCACTCCAGCTGTTATTGAACTGCAACATCCAGAATCCCTGAAACGTTTTTTCAAGTTCTGGAATTCTACATATGCTTTCTACCAACAATGTCTCAATGCCCAGTGACTCTCTTCTCTTCTTTAATCATGTTTCCACACTGAATAAGAAAGTCACTTTCTGGAGAGGACTTCTATGAGTTTTCAGTGGAGCATACCTGGAAGGCCCACCCGTCCTCTGTTTGGCCCTAACAAAGCAATATATCTGCTCTGGATCCAAAGAAAAGAAGTGCATCAGTGGGAAAAGGGTAGAACAACTTTATTGAATGAAACAGACTAACAGTGCAAAAATA